AACAAATTCAGTAAAGTTGCAGGATACAAAATCAACATACAAAAATCAGTAGCATTTCTATATGCCAAGAGTTAGCAATCTGCAAAAGAAATGAAGAAAGTAATCCCATTTACAGTACCTACAAATGAAATAAAATACCTAGGAATAAACTTAACCAACGAAGTGAAATATCTCTATAGTAAAATTATAAAATATTGATAAACAAAATTGAAGAGGACACACACACAAAAAAAATGGAAAGATATTTCATGTTCCTGGATTGGAAAAATCAATATCATTAAAATGTCCATATTACCGAAAGCAATCTACAGATTCAATGCAATCCCTATCAAAATACCAATGACATTCTTCACAGAAATGTAAAAAATAATCCTAAAATTTATATGGAACTATAAAAGACCCAGAATAGCCAAGACCATCCTGAGCAAAAAGAACAAAACTGGAAGAATCACATTACCTGACTTCAAATTATACTACAAAGCTGTAGTGACCAAAACAGCATAGTACTTGCATAAAAACAGACACATAGACCAGTGTGTCTCAATAGAGAACCTAGAAATAAATCCACACATCTATAGTGAATTTATCTTTGACAAAGCTACCAAGAATGTACAGTGTGGAAAGGACAGTCTCTTCAATAAATGGTGCTGGGAAAACTGGAAGTCCATATGTAGAAAAATAAAACTAGACCCTAATCTCTTGCCATATACAAAAATCAAATCAAAATGGATTAAAGACTTAAATATAAGACCTAAAACTATGAAATTACTAAAAGAAAACATTGGGGAAACATTGGTCTGGGCAAGGATTTCTTAAGTAATACCCCCTAAGCACAGGCAACCAAAGTAAAGTTGGACAAATGGGATCACATTAACCTAAAAAGCTTTTGTACAGCAAAGGAGACAATCAACAAAGTGAAGAGGCAACCCACAGAATGTCAGAAAATATTTGCAAACTACTCTTCTGACAAGGGATTAATAACTAGAATATATAAGGAGCTCCAACAACTCAATAGAAAAAAATCAAATAATCTGATTAAAATATGGGCAAAGAATCTGAATAGATATTTCTCAAAACAAGACATACAAATGGCCAATATGTATACGAAAAAATGCTCTGATGAAATGCTCTGAAAAAATGCCCCCATGAAAACATCATTAATCATCAGAGAAACACAGATCAAAACTACAGCTAGATACCACCTCACTCCAGTTAAAATGGCTTTTATCAAAAAGACAGACAATAAAAAAATGCTGGTGAGGATGTGGAGAAAGGGGAACCGTTGTGTTCTCTTTTTGGGAATGTAAATTAATGCAACCACTATGGAGAGCAGTATGAAAGGTCCTCACAAAACTGAAAATAGAACTACCATATGACCCAGCAATCCCACTGCTGGGTAAATATCCAAAGGAGAAGAAATTAGTGTATTGAAAAGATATCTGCATTCTCATGTTTATTGCAGCACTATTCACCACAGCCAAGATTTGGAATCAACCTAAGTGTCCATCAACAAGGTGAATGGATAAAGAAATTGTGGTACATATACACAATGGAATATTACATAGCCAAAAGAAGAAATGAAATCCTGCCATTTGTAACAACATGAATGGAACTGGAGTACATTACGTTAAGTGAAATAAGGCCAGCACAGAAAGACAATTCTCCCATGTTCTCATCATATGTGGGAGCTAAATATTAAAAACAATTGATCTCGAGGACACAGAGAGTAGAAAGACAGTTCCAGAGGCCGGGAAGGGTAGCAGGGAGTGGGGAATAAAAAGTGGGTATGGTTAATGGGTGCAAAAACATAGCTAGACAATTAGATTTGATAGCACAACAGAGTGACTATTAACAACAATAAGTTAGGATATGCTTTAAAATAACTGAAAGAGTGGAATTGGTAAGTTCCTAACACAAAGAAATTATAAAACATCTTCATCCTGAGGTGAAGGATACCCCAATTACCCTGATTTGATTAATTCACATTGTATGCCTGTATCAAAATATCACATGTACCCTATAAAGATATACAACTATTATGTACCCATAATAATTAAAAAGAAAAAATATATATATTAAAACAAAAACAAATTGTAAAAACTACACCAGAGTTGCTGTACCAAGACTAGTCACTAGTCACACAAATCTTTTTTCTTCCATTAACCAAAGCCTTGCAAACACTGATTTTTGTCTTTTGTTTAACAGAAAACAAGGCCAGGAGTCTGGCTGGTAAGAAATTCTTACCCTTTTTGCCAACTGGCCAGGTTCTTGGATTTTCTCTACTGTAGCTTTTCAGAAGAAACAGAGTAGCTTTAAACTGTAGGGAGCAAGGCCCTTTCCCCCATAAGGTTCTCTGAAAAATGAGACATGAGGTAGATTGATTCATTGGAGAAAAAGGCATTTAAATTAACTTTTAACGTGTATACACAGGAGCCTTTAGAATGATACTTAATTCCTCAATGAAGTACAGAGGGTTTTTTGTTTTGTTTTGTTTTTGTTTTTGTTTTTTTAAGAGTGGGGGTTTAGAAGTAGCAAAACAGGTTTGCAAGAGAGAAAAGAGGCTAGCCAAGGTGGTCTTGTTATGTAGGTAAAGCCTCACAGTTAGTAGTCCTCACAGAGAATAGGTAGTAAATTCTTTTTAATCCCTTTAAAGGTGTCAGACTCCCACTTATTCTATCCTAGATTGGGTAAATGAAGTCCTGGCTATATTAATGGAGATCCTCTACAGAAGTAAATTTTCTCCCACAGATGAGAGCTTTGTAGCATTATTTCTGTGCCAGCCACCTCAGAATATGTCACAGAAATATATTTCGGGGTAAAATAGTGTAATTTTTCTAACTGGCCAATGTACTGCAACTGTGGGGGTTTTAGTCAATTCTAGAGGCCTCATTTCCCATAATTTAGACCTCCTGTCAGTTTTGACCAAGAGTTGGTCAAATCCAATGTAAGACAGAGTAAAACCAAAAACAGAAGAAATTACTGCACAATTAATACATTGTTGAGATCTCTAAGTATAAACAGAAGTTACAGCCAGCTAGCAATAAATCTTACCTTCAGCTAGAAATGTCTAAAAGGAAACCTCAGATCAGCTCCTTACCTAGACATGGGGCCCAAGCTGAACCTACTCTCTATCATCATGGAAGCAGGGAAACTTGCTTTTCTTATTGGAAGCCAGCAAAACTCCTTAGAGGAGTTTTCCAGCAAAATAAACTTTGAATCTCAAGCCAAAAATTTGGGAAGATTGAGGAAACTCAGGAGAGAGCTGCATTTTGGTCTTGACAAAACTAACAACCTATTAGAGTAAATCTCTAGCTGCTACCTTAGCCCTGATGGGAGAAATCACGGTAAGTCAAAAGGGGCTCTACTCCAAGGTGTCCACTCATGTGGTTGCCATGTGGTTGTCAACCCAAAGTAAGTGACTGGGACATACTCTGAAGAAAAATATATGTACTGAAGACATTAGAGATATCAGAAGAGGCTGCTTTGGACTAGACTCAAACCCAGGCTTTGGTTCCCCAGTCCCACTCTCCACTGTGATCAGTACTTCAGTGCATCCTGTCGATGGAAAAAAAGACAAACGCTGGAAGATAATTTAAGGAGGTTTATTATGAGGCAAATTTGAGAACCATGACCTGGAGCCACACCCAAGAAGCCTTGAGCAAGTGGACTCGCTGTGACTGGGTTACAGTTGGTTTTATACATTTCGGGGAGACAGGAATTACAGGGAAAGTCACAAATCAATATATGGAAGGCCTACATTGGTTTGGCCCAAAAAGGTGGGACATCTCAAATCAGGGGCTTACAAGTCATAGGTGGGTTTAGGGATGCTTTAGTCGACAATTGGCTCAAAAGAGTTAGGCTTTGTCCAAAAGACCAGGAATCGGCAGAAAGGAATGCTTGAGTTAAGATAAGGGTCTTCTATCTTTCATGTGATGCTATACTAGAATCACGTTGGGAAGTAAACATCGTAAAAACATGTTTACTGAGATTTATCATTTGTAGGCATGATTCACCAGGCCCCCTTAGAAAGGATTTTTTTGGTGGGGGGTGGGGGAGAAAAAGATCAGAGTTGAATCCTCATAACCCATTTCTTGTTTTCATGTGTATTACACATGTTCTGAAACTTTGGAGAGCAGAAACTGTATTTTGGGAAGAGTAAGAAAAAATGGGACCAACACAATATATGAAAGATTTGAAGAAAATGCTTAATCATGGATTTGAAAATAATGAATTAGTTTGCCACAATCTGTGTATACGTCTGTATGTGTGTATTATAGCAAGTTCCATAAGTGCTTGTGCAGCTTTTATAACACAGAATTCTGTTACTAACCAAATAAATATCATTTGAAAGTTTAATGATTTATATTTTTACTATACTTGTTTAGTTTTGTAAATTTTAAATAATAAATCATTATTTTGACTTTTTGTGTCAGCCCATGAACGAAGACAGCAAAGGTTAATGTAAACAACAACAACTAAAATATTCAAAATTTACAAGATTGAAATAAGTATAAAGTTAAGTTCTACTTCTGAGTTGATGAAAGTAGAAAGCTTATTTTGTGGGAAAATTATGAAGACAGAGGAAATTTTGAGAGTAAAAATCCCTAGAAAATAACCAAAATTCCTGGGAAAATTTCAGACTTTCAAAGGCTATGAAATTGGTGGGTTCAAGCCAAGATCTCCAGGAGATCAAAGGAAGCAGGTAATATCTGGGTTGCAGAGGGAAAGAATAGAAAATTGACTGATGTCTCTCTCTGACAGGTTGAGCAGGTGGAGTCTGAAGGAGGATCCAAAAGGCCCAGGGGGTGGAGCGATCTGCAGAGCAGGGTGGTGGGGGAGGGGCTATGGTTCAGCACCCTCCCCACATCATCAATCCCACCCTCAGGACCCCTTTGTGATGAGGGGCCACAGCTCTGTGATGCAGGCCTGGGCCCTGGTCAAAAGGCCCAAAGGCAACGCCCAGGGCTCAGTTGCTTTAGGGCAACAGTGCAATTCAGAAGATGGAGAATTATCCGTTTCCTCTGAGTAGCAGTACTGATACATGGCTGAACCCCAGCTCCACTTCCTGGATGATGGATATCATCCTGGGCATCCTGTGTGGACTGGGGCTCTTCCTCCTGTTACTTCCTTGCCTCTGGAGTCATCTATCCTCACCACCAACTCAGCAGAAAAGAAACATCAGGAAGGTAAGGAACTCTCAGCCCAGACCTAACATAGAATGATTCTCTTTTTTTTTTCTATTATTATTTCCACTTTTCCAAAGTGGCTAGAGATTCCTGAGATGGGAAATTTCCTTGTCCTTCTAGGCTCAGGCAGGGCAGGAAGGGGTTAAAGTAGTGTAGGATTTCTAGACTAAGCTCTCAAACCTGTGTGGGTGCAGAGGCGGCATCAGGGCAAAGTCAAAGGCCAGGACTCAGGAACCAGGACGAAGCTATGAAAGGGTGAGATCTGTGTGGGAGGACTGCCCTCAGCCCTGTTCCTCAGTCATCAGTTGCCTTGCCGTGGCCAGTACCTCTAGCCCAGCCTGTCTGTGTCTGGTGATCCGAGGCTTGTGCTGAGCCTCCCATCAGAGCCTGGAGTGCCCACTGGCCTCCTCAAGAAGCAGAATCCTGCCTGACAGCTCAGAGGCACTTGTAGATTTGAGTCTTGAGTGTCTCAAGCAGAGGAGCAGTGACAGAAGACACCCATGGTGGATCTCATGTCTAAAATCCCTCTTTGTACTTTTTCAAAGGAAAACAGACAATATTTTTATCCACTTTAAAAATGAGTGAAAGGAAAGAAGACAGAGCTCCATTAACTAGATGTAGAAGGTCATGTCCTCCATAAGGACTAAATGTCTGCAGCTTATCTGGAGAGAGGTAGAGGTGAGTGAGGACTGGTCCCAGCCCCTCAATCTTTCCTGTCTCTCAGCATCCAGTGGAGAAGAGGAGGCGGCCCAGGAGCAGGAAGAAGAGCGGCCCTCTAAAAGGTAAGGTTCTGCCTCTCCATCCAGAGCCCCCGGTGGGGGGGGGGGTATTTAGCTTCATTGTCCTGAGGAATGAGTCTCCCAGAAGGTCCATTGCAGGCCTGAGGTGGGTGGGGGTGGCATCCAGGGAAGGAAATCAGAACCCGGGATTCTCCTCAGATCCCAGGCTAGGTATGAAGCCAGGTGGGCTGAGAATGGCTGCTGCCCAGTAGGAGCCTGGATGTGGTGGTGAGGCCTCCAGGCCCAACTGTGGACAGCTGCTTAGCCTGGCTAAGGCTGGTTCATCTTTGAGCAACCCCTGTCTGCTCCCCCACAGGGTGGATGTGAGGACCCTGGGGGATGGATGCGGGAGCACTGTGTACATGATAAAGTGCTGCGCACCAAGCTTGCTGCTGTCCCTCTCAGGGTCACATGGCTTTGAGCCCCGGTGCATGGGCTCTAGGGTCTAATGCCCTATGGTCTGCCCTAGAGGGACACTCAGCCTCCTGCAAGATCCTCAGGCCCCTCCCTTCCCCATCCTAACCCCACTCCTGATTTCCAGCTTGCAGAGATTGCCTGAGGGAACTGGAGGGGGCTCGGGACCTGATTTTGATTCTGCAGAGGTGAGGCACTCTCCCCTTCTCTCCTCCTCCTTCCTACCAGGGCCTGGGACATGACTCTGGGGCCTGGGGCTGACCCTGGGAGGGGGAGACCATGGAATGGGGACAGGATGTGGCTAGAGCCCTGGGACCAGGGAGAGATAGAGCTTTGTGAAGTCAGCATGGGGGCAGTGGAGGGCCCTGGGCCACACCCTGGCCCCACCCACCCCTGCTGCAGCTTGTGCCTCATGTCTTCTGCAGCCACCTGGAAAAGGTCCGTGACAAAAGGGGCTTTTATCAGCTCTCATGTCCAGATCCCCCAGGGAAAGTGTGTAAACGAGCACCTGCCAGAGCCCACCAGCCAGCTGGGGAGTGTGTGGAAGATGCTTCTCCTGCCACCTTGTCCCCATTGGCTTCCCCGGCTCCCCTGGCCGAGAGGCCTCCACTTCTGGCCTCCACCCTGTCAGAAGAACCTCAAGGACACTAGTCTGACTTGAAGAGAATCCCCCCAGGCACTGTCCCAGAGAGCTCACCTCCAGGTTACTCTTGTTTGGTGCCTTCTGTCTTGGCCACCTTAGGCCTTGAACGCACCATTTTGTTCCTCTCCTGGTGGTGGGCAGCTGCCAAGGCCCTTTTCTTTCCCACCTCACCACACAGCAAATCCCAGAAAGAGCCTCTTTTCCACCATCCACCAGAGGCTTGGTTCTGGGAAGACCCCGCACACAGGCAGATAGAGGGTGGTGGCTCTGCTTTCCTCAACCCTGATGTCCGGAAGCTCTTGGAAATACTGATTACCAAGAGAGCAGGACTGAAGCTGTGGAAAGATAAAGAAAAGAAGCGGTCATTTCTGAAACAAATGAGCCCCGATTACCCCCAGGGTTCTCTGGGGAATATGGCAAATTCACCGAGCTGGGAGTGGGACACCACAACTCCACACCACTTCTGGAATGTGAAAGACAAACCAGAGCAGCTGCAGGGTCCTCAGCGGATCTCCCATCCCAAGGCCGTGGTGGACCACTTACAGCAGAAATGCGGCCAGCTCTTCTGGGGCCTCCCCTCTCTGCACAGCGAGTCCCTGGTAGCTGCTGCCTGGATCTCTAGGAAGTCTTCTTCAAAACCAACACATCTCTCTGTTTCATTCAATGAAGTCCCTGACTTTTTTCCAGCTGAAAATTGGAGTGAAGAACCTTCACAGCCTCCTCAGGCCCAGCCTGAGCCCCACCACAAGGCCCAGCCCCAACCTTTGACTCTAACCTTGCCCAAGCCCCAGCCCGAGCCTTTGACTCAAACCTTGCCCAAGCCCCAACACGAAACTTTGACTCAAACCTTGCCCGAACTTCAGCCCCAGCCCCCACCTTTGGATGAGATCGACACCCAGGTCCCTCTCTCTCCTGCTCCCCAAGACATACCATATTGCTCTCTACCCCAGAGTAAAGGGGACCCTACAGGAAGCTGTAAAACAACTTGTCCTACGTCCCAGGAGAAGGCACAATTCCTCATCCCAACTGAAAGTGAGCATCTGGAGTGGCCCTTGCAGAAGCGACTGAGATGGAAGAAGATGTTATCCTCTCTGCTCAAAAACTCTCGTGCAGCCCAGAGCCAACCCACTCCCAAACTTCCCCAGGACAGCCAGGACTCCCAGAGCCACAAGTCTGCCTCTGTTCTTCTCGGAGATTTGATCAGCCCTGAGCACCAGGAGCAGCACAAGCAACATATTCAAAGGAGTTTCATCCCCGATAAAGACCAGTTAGGACCTCCCTGCAGATCCCACGTACCCAGGGAACTGATGCAACCTCAAGGTGAATTTCCAGGGAAGGGTCAGCCTGGGGCAGAAGACAAGCATGGGGCATTTGCAGGTGAAAGGAGCAAGGATGAACAGAAGATGGGATCCAGGCACTCTGAAAGATTCTCTCAGGAGGGTTCCATAAGTGTCAAAGAAGACAAGGACCCAAGCAGGAACCTAGGGCAAGATCTGAAGAGGGTCCCGGAAGATCCATACATAGATTCAAGAAATACCTTGGTGAAAATTCTGGAGGATAAGGAGGAGGAGGAGTCAGATACTGACTGGATTAGGCTCCAGAGGTATAAATCAGGAAATTACCTACCCGGGGGCCCAGAGAAGCAGCAGGTTGAAAAAACCCTGAATTTCCAACTGGACCAGAAGTTGGGGGAGATCAACGAAGGCATGGTCCCTGTGCGTGCACATCAGTCCATGATCAATGCTAGCCATGCTGGTCTCAAGTCTGACACCCACCATAAGCCCAGAAATCTAGCATCCTTAAGGGGTCAGAAATGCCATGTGAACACCTCCCAGGAGCTTTTTTTCCTTGATCCCTGCACTCAACAGATGCTAGAAGCACATATTATAAGGTTTCGTGTGAGGCATAGGTGGGGTTCAAACCTCCAGTCCCTGGAGCCCATAAATCTCGAGGGTCAATCCCCACCCTTTCCACTGTCCAGCCTTCCCTCCTGGGCCACTGGTGAATTTGGGGATGACGCCATACCTGAGGTTGCCAATTTCCTGGGAGAACATCCTTGGAAAGGTCTAGGAGAGAAGGTGATAACAAAAAAGTCAGTCCTCACCCTGACTGGTTTTCTCTCTGCCCCCTCACCTGTGAGTGAGGAAGTCCAGAGGGACCTGAGAGGTGACCAGTCAGGTGACAACCATGAGCACTCAGAGGCCTCCTCCACTGGACAGGAGGGCAGGTGGCCTTCTCAGCCCCTCACATGCAGCCTGGTAAACAGGACCTGGGAGAGTAGTACTGTCCTGGGGGCCAGGAGAGGCAGCCCAGAGCCAAGTCCAAGTCCAGCAATGGCCAGGCATGATCTACAGGAGGAGAAGGAGAGCATGGCCTCAGGAGTCCCCTGCAGTAGCATAGCAATGCCGGGGCTCAGCATAGGGTCCCAATCTTCAAGGGCCGAGAAGCCCATGGAGCCAGCAGAGGGCAAGGAGGAAAAGCCCCCTGCTTGGGACGTCATCCTGGGAGCCAGTGTGATGGCGGACTCCCAAACCATTAACGTGAATCTGGGTTCAGGGTCTCTGGGGACCAGTAAAAGCTCCTCATTCTCTAGAATTTCTGGTACCCAGGATCCAGGAGAGCCATGCCTGAAAACAAAGGTTGTGAATAAGTTTTCATTCAAAGTGGAGGTAGAATCAGAGGACCAGCTTCAAGGCCCTGCCACTGGTGTCCTCCTCCAAGACTGTGCCACTGGCCTGCATTTTCGAGGCCGTCACACGGACATACTCCCCACAGCAGACATGTTGGTTTCTCAGGAGCCTCAGTCCAATTCCCAGGCCCCTCTGTCCGGTACCCAGAGTGTGCCCAGTAAGGACGCATCAACTTCTCAGGGGCTACGTGACCCCACTTGGCATGGAGGAAGCAGCCAGGGGCAGCAGGAGCCCAGGAGCCCAAAAGTGAGGGCCTCCTGGAAGACTCAGAGCAATATGTTTGGCCCTAATGACGAGAGAGAGAGCTGTAGGAGGCCCAAACCAAGCAAGCATGAACCAAGGTCTGCAGGACCAAGGCCCTTCCAATCCAGTGGGATGAGTCATCCTGCTCAGGTCAGGGAAAGAGAAACCTTTGGGAACAAATACTCTCAGTTACCACAAGAGAAGGGACAGGCACCTCCAGAAAGCTACTTCAGAAAAAGGATCAATCGTTTTCTGCAGCATCTCAAGCCCAATAAGAAGGGCAAAGAGCAGGGAGATCCCCTGCAGAAAAAAGGCAAGCCTGCGTCAGCCACTGCCCAGAGCCCAGGGCAAGCCATGAGGTCATCTATGAGCAGCAGAGCTGCTGAAATCCGGGCAGTCGTTGCATTTGTCAGACAGATTTTAGTGGATAAATTGGGGCTACGGCAAGGACATGGTCCTCCGGAGTTCAATTTCCGAAAAGAGGCCCCAGTGGATGGGCGTTCCTGCTATCCCAAAGGTCCCTACCACCCAGGGCAAAGGAGAGCGATGAGAGATATAGCCTCCAGTCACGCCACCCCCATGGGCCACTGCTATCTTGTCAAGAACAAGTGGGTAAGGGAGAGGGACAGCAATTGGGCCTCCCCACCCAGGGACACTGTGCTCCCGGCCACTCCCTGCCAGCATGGGCCAAGGGTGGCAAGAGCCTCGGGCCACCTTCACCATTAGACAGCACGCTTGTCTGGTCAAAAAGATCCTGCCTCTTATGCCTTTCCTGATGGGAAAATATTCTCACAGAATAAATTTTATTCAGGCAGAGAAACCTGTTTTGCCTCATGTTAGCACATCCGCTATATGCTAATGGCTTCTTCTTACCAAGAACATGGACCAAATAGATGTGTTTTTCTCATCAGAAGTGATGGCTTCTGTCTGGGGCGCAGGGAAGGGGTCAGCATTCCCTCTGCCTGGGTGTGGCTTCTAGACAGGACAGTCATGGGGAGGCTGATGGGGGCTGGCAGACGCACCCTCACCCCAGAGTCCCTCGCTGCATCTTCTTTTCATAACTCGGTTATTACACAGAGTCTTCAGCACTGGCAGGACTGGCAAACCCTGTGGAGACCCCACCCCGGGATCTGACTCACACTGTCTGTGCCCAGGCTTTCCCTCGACATGAACTTGGTGCAGTGGTGGGGGTGGGTTTACAGAGGCCTCTAAGGGGGAAATTCCCCTCAGGCTCCAGGAATGTGGGAGCCAAGCAGCCTCACGCTGCCTGAAGTGAGCCGGGAAGTTTCAGGGTGGGGGTGCTGGCCCTGGGTACAGGGGCAGAGATAGCTGGCCCCCATGACTCTCCTGGTGAGGAACAGATGACCCTGCCCGGAGCCCCCTCACTGCCTGCTGAAGGGTTGGAGAGGCAGCCCAGAGCCAAGTCCAAGAGATGGTCCCTGCTGGCCCCTCTGGTCTCAGCCTTGGTGACAGGAGCATGCCCCTCCCATCCTCCACCTTCCTCCTTTTGAGAGCAGTGGCCAAGACAGGGCCAGTATGGGTGGGCACAGCAGGAGGTTCCAGGGCCTTGTCTGCCCTCCTGGCCACCCACTTTCCCCTCTGGTGTGACCAGAATGGGGAACCATCTGATGGTGGCACACAGAGAATGAGGGTGGAATGTGAGAGAAGAATTGAAGAGGTGGCAACATGGAAGATGGCAGAGCTTACCTGGCACCCTAAACAGTGACTGCCCAGTGCACTCATAGGCCAAGAGGGTCGGGCAGCAGCCCCATAGTGGAGGGCTAGACCAAGGGGCACAAAGCCTTTGTAAGAAAGTGGCTTTTCTCACGGCATATGTGACCAGCCTGTGTACTGTCACTTCTGGAATTCCAGAGAGGACTGGCAGAAAAGACAGGACTTGGGTCCCTGTGGTATCACAGTCTGGTTCACAGACATGTGGCCTCAAGGCTGCTCCCAGAGCTGGGGACTTGGAGGGCCAGTGCTTGTGCCTGGGCTGCTCCTGGAGCCTGTCCCATATTGGCTGGGGACAGGGAAGCCACCTGGGGCATAGCAGCAAGGGGGGCCAGGGCCTGGGAAGGCTGGAGCTGAGCAGTGACCTTAGAGAGAGACCCCCACAGAGACCTCTGACAAAGACCCTCACAGGGACCTCAAGAGACCCCCACAGAGAGACCCCCACAAAGATGGCAGAGACATTGACAGAGACCCACAATGAGAGACCCCCCAGAGAGAACTGTGACAGACATGCCCATAGAGAGCTCTGACAGAGACACTTATAGAGACCTCTAACAGAGACTCCAAAAGAGACCTCTGACAGAGACCTATGCTAAGAGACTGCCACAGACACCTCTGACAGAGACCCCAACTGGGAAACCCCCACAGAGACCTCTCACAGAGACCTTGGAAAGAGATCCCCACACAGAGCTCTGACAGACCTCCATAGGGACCTCTGACAGAGACCTCATAGAGACCCACACAGAGACCTCTGACAGAGATAACCAGTGACAGACCCCCACAGAGACCTCTGACAGTGGCCAATACAGAGAATTCTCACAAAGATTCTTTTTGAGAACTCTGATAGTGACACAAAGACTATATTAGAAACCCCCATGGAGACCTATGAAGAGCTCTATTAGATACCCAAATTGAGAACTCTGACAGAGAAATCTACAGAGACTTCCCGAGACCTCTGACCAAGAATCCACAACAGACCTCTGACAGAGATCCCCACAGAGAATTTTGACAATCACAGTGAAAAACTCCTACAAGGACCTATGACAAAGAGGGACCCTGAAAGACCACCACAGAGAGCTCTGACATGGATCTCTCACTGAGACCCCACAGAGACCTCTGTCGGAGACTCCCACAGAGACATCCCGAGACCTCTGATAGACATTCACACAAAGACTTGCAGAGACCTCTGACAGAGACCCACCTAAGAGGCCCTCATAGAAATCTCTGAGAGAGACCCAAATAGAGACGCTGACAGTGACTCAAACTTAAAGACCCACAGAGACACCTTTGACAAAGACCCTCATAGGTGCCTCTGACAGACAGCCCCACAGAGACTTCAGACAGAACCCCACACAGAGACCTCTGACAGAAACCCACAAAAAGAAGTCTGACAGAGACCCACACAGAGATCTCTGACAGAGACTCTGTGGGGAGGGGGCTCTGTGGCCAGCAAAAGTACCGGAGCAGGTTTCTGGGAATTGAAAGAAGAGACGAGCAGCAACGGAGAGAGGAGACATGTTCTTTTATTGCTGGGGGGATGTAGCCCACAGCAAGAATATGGTGAGTGCTTATATATGGCCCAGAACAATCATGGCAACGTGACAAGCAAAGGTGTGGTCACATGGATTCACACAGGAGGTAACATCATGGTTACACAGCCATGTTGACTTGTGCCGGCAGGAGACACGCCTGCAATCATTTTAGTTTGGCCTGAGAAACCTATTGCCTATACAAATGGATTTCCCTTACAGACCCACACTGAGATTCCTCCACAGAGACTTCTGACAGACACTCCCACAGAGAACACTGACAGGGATCCTCACATAGACTTCTGACAGAGACCCACACAGAGACCTCTGACAGACCTACACTGAGAGACCTCCACAGACCCTTCTGGTAGGGACTCCCACAGAGACCTCTGACAGAGACTCATACTGAGACGCCCAACATCCTCTGTCAGAGACCAACACTGAGAGACCTTCCACTGAGACCTCTGACCGAGACCTCATATCCATCCTTAGGATCCTGACCAGCCACCCAGTGACAGGTTCTTCTCCATGGCTCTGACAGCACTTGGCAAACCGGCAGCACAGGAGAGAATCTGAGAGATTTGCCCTGCTCCCTGGGGAGAATGCTTGTGTATTTTTTTCTTTTCTAATGGTATTACTTTTCTTTCTTCTGAAAAAAATCACAGATTGCACATGTAAATCTGGAAAATCTTTTCCTTCACAAAATTTCATTAGCTCGAGCTCCGACCCACAGTTTAGAAAAATCCCAAACTTCGGGAACAAGCAAAACTCTGTCACTATCTAGTGAGGGAAAATTATCTTCTTGGTCTATTTTTGGTAATCGTCCAATCAAATGGCATTAGGGGCCACATTATTTTATTGGGTACAAGTACCTGCACTCAAAATAACTGATTTTACTCTGGAAACACGAAGAAGGGAGCCCTCACCAAATGGACTCCAGAGGAGATAAACCTGCAAAGATGCATTTGCCTCCCACTCACTCCTGTGGAGCTGTGCAGCTGGCATGTTATTTTGTACATAACAGTTTGTGTCAGGTTTGTGAAGTTTGCTATATTTTTAAAATGAAACAAGCCACATTAGCAAGCATATGAAGCTTTTTCATAAATGAGACATATTTCTAGCACTATTTCTATTAGACCTTCTAACAAATTGATAGTAAATATTAAATAATTAACTGATATTGTTTATTTTTGCTCCTTAAAATGTGACAGTGCCCTCAGATTGTACTATACATGTTTCCATGTGTAGTAGCAGAATATGATAAAATCCTAATCCTAATGTTCAGCTAACTCATCTTAACCTGCTGAACTATTTAGAAGAATTCATTTTTAAAATAATTCCAAGAAATATACATTTCCCAAGATTCAGGCAGCCAGGCTCTGTTTTATATTCATTGTAGGGTGACAAAAAGGACACATTGATTAAAATAATTTTGAAATCTTAGAAAATATACAATTGAATTTGTCCTTGAGATATATATTGTCTCAATTAAATTACTAGGGAATTGACATTTTAACATCTGTTAAATTAAAAAATGTATATATTTAACCAACATTTTTATTATAATAATGATAAAGGTCTCACTATATCCCTAGCACTTGTCAAATTGTGCACTTAGTTGAGATTATGTATTTCTCACTGTTCATAAGAATCCTCTTACCTTAAGATAAAAACAGAAGTCAAATGTCTATCTCTAATGAAATGTCTTAGATTACTCATTGGGATGACAGCGTCATGGTCCCTTCTCTAAGAAGATAGGATTGAGCTAATGGGAGGGCTCTGAGGCTGCATATCTATTTTTTTAAATTAAGAATAACACAGATAGTAATATATCTTACAAAATTGTAGCTATTAGCTTTTTGAAATTTGCTCCCTGTGTGAGATTTTCTTGTTATGTTCACAAAACTATGCAAAGTGGCCATTACAGTGACCTGTAATGTCCAATCAATAATATCAAGTGACCAGAATAACTCAACATTCCCCTATGAACAACCACATCCACAATGTCCCACAATCATGGAAATGATACTTTCTTTTTGGAAGTATCAGCCCGTATGCCTAAATCATGTCTTTAAATGAGATGAAACCATATTCTAGAAAAAGATATAAAATAATGGAACTTCTGGGAAAATAGATGAGGATTTAGGAAATGCTAGTGTCTTTCACAGGAAAACATGCCCACCTCATCTCATCCTGGTACCATGACAAAGGAAGCACAGGAGACACAGGTCTGTCATCTAAGCTTTTTTTTCCTATTTTTTTTTGCAAGACCTGTGGGCCAGGATATTTTTACAGAAGTGATTTATGGGAAATGTGGCTTGTAATGTTCTATAGTCACTCTTATCCCCCTTGGAATGGAGCATGAAGCCAAACAGAATAACCAGGAAAATTATTTTCTGGAAAAATGATTACATTCTCTTGAACTTTTCTAAGTAAAAGAAAAGACGGAGGCTTCAGGTGGGAAGCTGAGCTGTTCTTGCCCGTCAAGTAACTACATATTTTATTGGCTGCTAAAGCTGGAAGGACTCCCAGGAGGCTGTCTGAGGGGAGGGTCTGCAGAAGGCAGATCAAGGACACACTGGTGCATGTTCGCCATGGTCAGCACGTCTGAGAGACACGTGTGTAAGCTTAGCAGGAAGCAGACCTCAGCAGAAGAAGCACTGGGTGGTGCTCCCATTTGCCCAGTGGTGACACCACCCTTCACCCCCACCTCACCCCATAACCATCCCTCATTGTCTAGGGACTTAGGGGTGACTTTAGATGAAGAGGAAGAGGAGGAAGATGAAGAGCCACTGTAAAAACAATGACTATGGCCTCTCCTCTATCCCAGTAACCTGATTGACAAATGAGGACCCTGAGACACAGAGATATCCCCCAAGCACACATGCGCTTGGTTCCCACATCCTCTGACTCAGACCAATGCTTCCCCCACTGCATCATCCAGCCCATGTGGGAGAAACCCTTTCATCTGTGAAGAAGGTGATAGCCTGACAGGAAATTATTTCTACCACCACCAGATCAGGACACATATTATAATTTCAGCCAAAAAAAAAAAAAAGCCACTTTGTCATTTAGATAATGACTTATTTCATAGTATGGTAACTGTTCTTAATAGCCATCTTATTTTTAATCATGGTATGGTTTAAGAGGAAAATAAAAACAAACAAAGGAAATTTGACTTTACAACTTCCAAGAAAAACACTGCATTAGTGTGTTCCACTTCCCGCTGTGGGACAGACTCCATCATGGAAAGGATACCTTTCCCTGAATCCTGAACACACCTGCAATTCAAGATGGTTATCACAGATGAAGAGCAGAGGCAAAAGCGCACGAAATCATTTCTGGAGCAGCCGTTCCCATGTTGTCCCACCCTGCCTTCACCTAACAGGCACGAGGTACCGTGGTGGTGGTGGGGTCCTGGGTGGGGGTTCCCCAGTAGGAAGGGCAACACAGGATGCTGAGGTGCAGAGAGAAAATATTAGAGCTCCATTTAGGTTCTTTTTCATCTCATTCTTCTTAGGTTTACATATATATAAAATACAGCTCATAATATATATATACAGAAGTATTGTCATACATATCAATTATAGAACCACAGTGCATGCATATCATTGGCAAATAAATGAATATATTAATAAACATATTGAAGCCACAGAAAAAATGCATATAAAGCATTTTACTGACCGGGAGAATGACAGAAATCTTGCAGAAACATTGATATTTTTAAGGGAACAGACCCAGAATGCACCACAACCATGAGCTCTGGGCTGCATCAGGGAAACCGCATTTGTTTGTCCAGAGAGTGAGAGCCACAAGCTCCAGAAGAGCCATTTCCCCAGACTCTGAAACAGTGACCTCTGATCAGTGTCCTCTTCACAGGCAGAGGGTGGGAAACACAGAAGGGAGTGGACCGTTTCCCCACTTGCCTGCAGAAACCACAGAGCTGTGGTGCAGGAGGGACACATGAAAGGTTGTGTGGGTTGGGAAGATGGGAGCTCAGGGCCAGGTAGAATGCAGGACTTCAGGGCCTGCCAGGGCCAGCAGGGCTGAGGGGTGTGGGAACCAGCAGCAAGGCCCTCAGGCAGGGCCTGGGGAACTGCAGCACACACCATACCCAAGAACTACTTGTGGTTACGAATGCAGTGGTTTACACTTCCATCTAATGGTTGGATGTATCCTGTTGCTTTTGAAAGATAGGCCCCAAAATTCTGAAGTATAATAGTAGTGGTAGGCAGTAGTTTGATTTACTATTTTTTAAACTTCAGTTTCATATATGAAAGGTCCACTGGAAGATACTGGTTTTGAATCATGTAAGCAGTTCTGGGGACAGAAAAGAAAAAAAATAGACTGTTGTTAATGAGTAATGCAGGGGTGTTAAAAATATTGAGCAAAATTAAACATCAGATAAATATTCTTAGCATCCAAATCCATTGATCATGCTCACAAACTGACAAATGTTGAGGAAGAGTCCTAGTCACCAGGCCAAGCGACTACAGTGAGCGCACCCCTCCCCAAGCAGGGTAGATCTGAAGCACTTCTTACACTGCATTACTTCAGGGGGTACAAGATAAGATTATTTAATCAATAATCAAGTTTTAGTGAAGGCGGCATCTGTAGTTGTCAGCACTGGCTACTGAAGGGTAATGTCTGAAGAACAAGTTCAGAAAGAGACGTATTTCGGTTTTGATGCCAAAATCAATCTCTTGGACACATCACTTGACATAGAAAATGGATTTAAATAAGAGTCTACACTAGTCAATCCACTGCACACTATCTACATTAGCAACCAATCTTCTGCAGGAGGGATACCATTATTTCACACACCCTGTCATCTCTAACACAGCGGGTGGTCAGATACACTTGTCAAGGTGAAGTGGGATGTCACTGAAATCTTGCAACCTCCTCTCAGAGATCTAGTTATCAAATGAGCTAGTGCATGATGTATCCATACACAGAGGGGTCGTAGGAAGTACTGTAAATCACAAAATTGGAAAAAGTGACATCTGGCGGTCTCTGAAGCAGGACTCTCTTTTTAACAGCACCCTACTGGTTTCATGGGCTACCATGTCTACGTTCTTTTTATTAGGATAACATTTTCCCCCTTAATCAGAATGTGGATAATTTAGTGGTTAAATTCTTGATTATTGAAACACTCTGTATTCAGATTATGAATTGACTTAAAAGTGTTTCTATGAACGTCTTCTTCATTTTATATCATTCCTCATTGATATTTCACTGGTTTTCTGAGAGGATAGAGCTGGGAAGCCGAATCTATGTGTAGTCCACAGCTTGTCCTGGGAATTAATTCAGTACTGGCAGAGGTGGAAAATCTGAGCAAAGGGAATCAACTGGTGTGAGCTGAGCCAGTATTTGAGGGAGGGCGAATGAACCAAAATCTTCCTGGTGATTGTAACATTTATGAATTTATGTAACACCAAAATATAACAAATAGAGAATTTGGTAGTTAAGTTAATTTTGGAAAATGCATTCAAATCCATGTTGGGGCTCAGAAAACACTAGCCCAAAATGAAAGCCTCAGAAGAAAATGTTTCTCTCTGACCTTCTGTCTCTGGCCC